ACTGTTCGGGAGATGCTCGTTTGTCACTATCCATGATTGGAATGAGGAGATGCCCTTCATGCTTATTATTTTATACTAATTCTGCAAGGCCTTCTAAAAGTGGTCCAAGTACCAATCCCAGAAAGCCGCTTCCCCGCTGAACAAGAATTTCCTTTTTCGTCTTAAAATTTCTATCTCTGTCTGCTAAATCAGCTAGATCTTGTTCGAAAGGTCTGAGTTTGTCCTTTGTTTCTTTAGAGTATGTGAAATTTTCTATACAATGACACAAGCATCGAATTTGCTCAGCTGATGTAGAATTAAGAAGAGCTTGCTGTTGAGCTGGATGAGAAGTACATAAGAGTTCTACAAATGGTCTGTGTTTCATATAACTGCTAGTCATCTCTGTTCGGCGGTCAGCAACGGAATGAAGATTTAGTTGGAAATAACACATATATAAGGATCGGCTCGCCCTCTATAGATTAGGTCAGGACTATAGTCTTTCATAGTCAGGATTATAGTCTTTCATAGTCATTACTATAGTCTTTCATAGTCAGGACTATAGTCTTTCATAGTCAGGACTATAGTCTTTCATAGTCAGGACTATAGTCTTTCATAGTCAGGACTATAGTCTTTCATAGTCTTTACTATAGTCTTTCATAGTCAGGACTATAGTCTTTCATAGTCAGGACTATAGTCTTTCATAGTTAGGACTATAGTCTTTCATAGTCAGAACTATAGTCTTTCATAGGACTATAGTCTTTCATAGTCAGGACTATAGTCTTTCATAGTCAGGACTATAGTCTTTCATAGTCATGACTATAGTCTTTCATAGTCAGGACTATAGTCTTTCATAGTCAGGACTATAGTCTTTCATAGTCAGGACTATAGTCTTTCATAGTCAGGACTATAGTCTTTCATAGTTAGGACTATAGTCTTTCATAGTCAGGACTATAGTCTTTCATAGTCAGGACTATAGTCTTTCATAGTCAGGACTATAGTCTTTCATAGTCAGGACTATAGTCTTTCATAGTCAGGACTATAGTCTTTCATAGTCAGGACTATAGTCTTTCATAGTCACGACTATGGTCTTTCATAGTCAGGACTATAGTCTTTCATAGTCTTTACAATAGTCTTCATAGACGCGACAATAACCAACGGGATAAATACACCTCTTCACTCTTGCTTTAAATCATTTTACACTGACTCTTGAGAAGTAAACATGTCTTATGAATGCGACATCTGCGGTAAAACGTTTGCAAATGCGAGTAATCTCCTTCGCCACAAGAAGGTTGTCCATGCATATGGATCTCGTAATCTTGGGCAGCAAACTCTCACGGTGAATGGGGTTACAGTCATGCAGCATCCCTTTACATGCATCGTTGCAGGATGTACCCAAAGCGGCAAAACCGTATGGGTGAAATCTCTCTTGGAGAATGCTCAAACGACTATAAGTCCTACTCCTCAACGTATCATTTGGTGTTATGGTTAATGGCAACCGTCCTATTTTGATATGATGAGGATAATGCCTGGAATCGAGTTTAATGAAGGCATCCCCGACGATATCGACAATGCGGATTACTTGGACGTATCGCAACGGAATTTGATCGTATTGGATGATCTTATGGCTCAATCTGGCAAAGATAAACGTATTTCCGATCTTTTTACGAAAGGAAGTCATCATCGAAATTTGTCTGTCATCTATATTGTCCAAAATATATTTCATCAGGGCAAAGAAATGAGAAATATTAGTCTAAACGCGCATTATATCGTATTGTTCAAGTCACCAAGAGATAAACAACAAATTTCTATACTTGAAGGCAAATAAATCCCGGCAAAGTACAGGAGTTTATGAGGAGTTATGAAGATGCTACGAGCCGGCCTCACGGATATTTGATGTTGGATTTAAAGCCGACAACGAGTGACCAAGATCGACTCAAGACAAACGTACTTCCCGGCGAGATTGCAAAGTTTTTACACAAACAGTCGTATCGTCAACCACCACTTGCAAACGCAATGTATGATGCCGAACAGAGAATGAAAGAAATCATGGATGCACCACAGCTTAGCGCAGTGGAAAAAAGCAAATTATACTCTGATCAACTAAATCGGTTTTTGACATTCAAAAATAAGATGGATGTTCCGACTCAAGCTCCTGTTCAGACAACTCCATTCGTGCCTGCAGAGATGCCACAACCCAATGAATCTGTCGAGATAGCACCACCAGTGCCTGCTACCCCTAAACCTAATTTCCTTACACCACCACCAACAGAAGAGGAACGGCCAAAACTCAAGCGCAACTTTTTCCACAATTGGGTAGACTCTACAGATTGGAGGCCCCAAGATTTGGCAATGATGACCCCTGAACAAAGAGAAGGTTACGAACAAAGATTACTTCGCGAGAGGCCGAAATATATTCCAATGAAGAATGAAGATGTTGCAAGGTTATCCCCAGAAGATAGACAAGAATATGAAAACTCTTTAAAAATAACAAAAACTCCTAGACGTTATGCTCTTAGAAGTAGACCGTACTAAATTTTGTAAAACGTTTTGAAGAAATAAATTTAAAAACTGAAATATTGTGTAAATTTTTGCCGGCAAAGCCCGCTCTTTCCGCCAGCGCGAAAAGATCCGTGTACAAATATGTTGTAAGTTAATATATGTATGCACCCGCAAAGCCACGCGCCTGATTTTAAGGTATACACCTGCGTTAAAAATAATCCCTATCTATCCATCGGGATACACTTAGTTATGCAAATTCGTATTGCCTTAATCCCCTTAATTACCTACACGCCTCCTAATGACTTAGCAACGTATAACAACGCAACATTTGCAAAGTATAAAACATGTTTATTGATACAAATAACAGACGATAGTGTCAAAAAATATTACAACTAAAACTATTTGTTAAACTGTTCTATAAGTTTTTTCTCCATGAGTTCTTGATAAGCTTTCTTATGATCTACCTCAAAACTTCTAAATCGTTCACCCGTCGCCTTCACATAATACATGTAACTCGGTGGGTAAGAGAAAAACGCTTCAGCTACGGACTCGAGTGCGTCTTCTAATCTCCAATGAAACAAATAGTTCAGTATACATTGTAGTTCGTGGTTCTCAGTGTTCTGATGTAGTTTCATCAATGAATCGACAAACGTAGAATCTGGATCTTTTTCCAGTTGCTGTAAATGTTCGAGTACATCTCTATCAACCGCCAGGTTTAGTACCCTCATTGCCTCAGCGAATTCATTCCAAACCATACGCTTACCATTCACTCGTTCGATCGCTTGTAAACCATACATTTGCCATCGTTCGTTTTCGTTCATCATGAGGCAGTCATGTTGTCTTTGACTAGGATGACTGACTTGACAACCATTACAGGATTCCACCCAAAGTCTTTCAACTTCTTGTGCGACTGCATTCGCAAATATTCCTTCCAATAAATTGTAAGATGTGGTTTTACCGTGTAGACACGCCATGACTGATGTGGAACAAATATAGACGATGTTTGTTACAGGACGCTTGTCGATTTTATACAGATACTTGTATAAAAGTTCATAGTAAGCCAACATTAATCCCTCAATTGTATCATAGACGTGGAGAGACGCTAAAAAATGCGTAGTCAGCAAGTTTCGCCCGATCGCGCTTAAACCTGCCCGCGTGACGTCATTGCATATAATTATGACGTATGTTAATGAGTGACGTCATTACTCCTCCTCAATTGTACGAGTATTAATTATAAATGAGGTGGTGGACACCCACCACCTCAAACTCCACCACCTCAAACTCCACCACCTCACACCACCTCATCCACCACCTCAAAAATCCGGATCGATCGGTACCTATATTACTACTAACGAAGCATGCCGTTTTGAACGTTTCATGGCAAGATGCGAATCGAAAGGGAAACGGGCCTTTTATTTTAAAACGGGCCTTTTAAAGCCTGTGTACGACCTTGTATAATTTAGCTTCAAACTTCCGCTTGAACGTAGCGTTCCAGTTATTTTTAGTTCAATGAGCGAAGTCTAAAGTTCATCAAATATCGTGGGCGCATGGCTCACCGTTCATGGTTCATGGGTGGTCATCCTCACTGATCTCAAAATATGTAGCGAACTGTCGTCAATAGTGAACACTGACTGGTCAAATTTGCAATTTGCATTGTAACGACTGCATTGACGACAGCAAAATAACAAACATTTCTTGCAAGTTGTATTTTTGCAAGATTTTGTAAATTTCAAAACCTTTCTGAGAGCCAAAAACGTCTAAAAACGTCTAAAAGAATAGAGCAAAGTCGCCGACGTTAATGAAGGTAAGTTTGTTTTAAATATTGATGTAATGCATGAGTCAATTCCAGGAGTAACCATCCCCCCCCCCGGGAACATACCCAGGCATTTGATTTGATTGGTTATGATAGTGTAAATGCCCGGGTGCCGGGACACAACTTGAAGACTAATGCACGGCCCCTGGGCAAGCTGAGAGTGGAAAATGCCCCACCCCGGGGACGATTTTACAGTCGATTTCACGAAACTTTGACCACAAATGTTCCGAACTTCGTTGCGAAGTTCGTAAGTTCGTTGCGAAGTTCGGAAGCTCATATTGGAATTCACAAGCCAATTTGTAAACAAAGTCCCTGATTGGTCCGTGAAGTAAAAGAAGCCAATCAAATGCGTAGTTTACGAACTGGTTTGTGAATCTCATTATGAACTTTTGAACTTCGCAACAATCTTGTGAACTTCGCAACGAAGTTCGGAAAATTTGTGGTCAAAGTTTCGTGAAATCGACTGTAAACGTTAATTAAACTTTTAATGGCATATAATCATAGTCATTTAATAACATTATAGTTAGTAAATAAGTGATAATTCGTGCATGTGACAACCTCATAGTAATAACTATGCTTTCGCGCTTCGAGGTCAAAGTTTGGCGGTTTTCCCTAGACAACCTTAATTGAATTAGCTGTATATAAGAACTCATAGATCAATATTTCAATGAGTGTAATTAAAGTATATAGCACTTTATCATGATGCACCTTACTTGTTCTTTCCATATTTGGTTGCAAACTCTGTTATTTCAGATTCTTCTTGATATCCCTTTGCAGTCTTATAATACTCCATGCTGTGGTCGACAGGGAAATCCACAGGCAAAAATTCTTTCTTTTCCTCAGCATCATAAATATATTTTAATTTTTGGAATTTAAACCATATCACCTCTTCACCTGTTTCGGAAGTCTGCAAGAAAAAAAACCTTCTGGGGCTAGTTGTACGAAGGCCGAATACCGCTATCTGTTGGATTACCTGGATATTATTATTAGGAAAAAAGAGAGGCTACTGATGATAAATTCTTATGTAGGCAATATTTGTCCTTTCCCACTAGTGATCAGAAACGTAAACATGTCCACAACACCAGATTAGATTCATGGTGGGGCCATCCAATATGGCCACCATTGGCTTCACTTATGCACAGCAGATGCGCTATCCAGTCTTATTCCAGATCAGTGTTACAGACAGTATAAGATATTCCCTTCATTCCAAAAATTGTTCGTTGGTTAGGAAATTTGTGAATTTACAATTAAAATTAAAAATCAAACGCAGTCACAACAACGATATTTTACTAGTAATTTTTCGCAAGCATTTGAAGAGTTTCATCATTTAAGGAGGCTCCATACAGTTTCCAAAATATGTGAGTGTTTTAAACTAAAACCTATTTAATTGATTTAAATCTAAAAAAACAATTTTTTTGCACAAGCCGATGTTTCCTCTTATATAAAAGAGTAATTTTAACCCACAATCGCTACTCTTTACGTTACCATGACAACATGACGTCGTCATCTATATGGCCTATATCAACCAAAAAAGCCGTCTTAGCGGACAAATAACCACGGTGACCTACCTTTTTTATTGCAGAAAATACATTGTTATGAAGTTTTGAATCTTTTTTGAAAGTTATTTGAAAATCGCCAGTGTAGTTTTCGAGAAACTAAATTTCAGCCTTTTGAGAGGCTAAAATGCAATCTTTAAGGCTGAAATTCAGTTTCTCGAAAACTACACTGGCGATTTTCAAATAACTTTCAAAAAAGATTCAAAACTTTATAACAATGTAATTTCTGCAATAAAAAAAGGTAGGTCATCGTGGTTATTTGTCCGCTAAGACGGCTTTTTTGGTTAATATAAGCCATATAGATGGTGACGTCATGTTGTCATGGTAACGTGAAGAGTAGCGATTGTGGGTTAAAATTACTCTTTTATATAAGAGGAAGTAAGTTTTGCTTATATATGGCTGTAAATATGGCGTCAATTTTAAAGAATCATTGATATTTGCATTTAAAAAGGTAGCTAACTCTATAAACTAGAGAATAAAGCTAAAACAAAGTAATTTTGAGAGGAACGCCAAAAAGATTTTAGGTTTTGAACACTTTTCATTGCAAATACGTGACATTGAAAAAAATTGCCTCTTAAACAATTTATTCTGTTTTCTATATAAAGCGGAGCAGCATGCTTTCATGTCTGGTGTTAAGATACTGTAGTCACCACTCACAAACTGGAACGATAACATGGCGGCCATCTTTGAAACCACTCATGAAGCCCGCCATGTACGTATGGAGCGGAAAATACGCCACCGAAAAGACGTCTGTTTTTGAGCACTAACTAGCTGTATTTCAACAAGGAAAATTACCTGAAATTTAATACAAAACATGCATGTTTCCAGAACGTAGAGCAGTTTTAAAGTTATTTTTTCAGGAGTCAAAGTGCGAAGTTTTTTTCGGCACGTTCAAATTTGTGTAATATTTTAAATATCAAGCTGTTATCCAGGAAGTTTTTGCTGTTAGTGAATGTCAAATACTTAGAACTATTCATGAATTTAGGAAACCAGGTTTCAATGTTTAAAATTGAAGCCTTTTGATAAAAAAGTACTTCTTCTTGCTGATTTTCACTTGCAAAAACAAACTTTTGACTGAATTTCCCGCTACTCGAAACTCTCCCTAGTCCTTTTGAAAGTCGATTTATTGCTCGCTGAGCCTCGCGAGAAGCGCCATCTTGGCTTCAGGCAAGTATGGACATGTTTACCTAGGGCCGGTTGTATAAAAACGTAATTAGCGCTAACTGTAGTTAGCGTTAATCACTCTAGTTAAATCCTTAACTGTAATAACGAAACAGAACGTAGTTAGTTGGATAGTTAACTAATCACGTAGTTAACTGTGCGCGAGGCTTGCGTAGCAGTGATTAACGACCGCTGACACGCATTTTTTACATGATTGTGGACTCGTATTATGAAAATAGTACAGCTGCAGTTAGCGCTAACTACGTTTTTTATACAACCGGCCCCTGCAGTTAGCATTCCAGTGTTATTCAGTTCACTGATTGGGCCACAGTAAAGTGTCTGTATTTGTCTGTATAATGGAGGTGTCTATAAGGACATGCACATTACATATACATTTTTACTAGCTTGGATATGGTAACACCAACCTAACTACTTTTGAATTTCTTCGGGAACCACAGAAAGGAGAAACATACAATGCCTTTCAAGTAACAGACTATATACGTTGGGCAAAATATCAACACAAAGAAATTTTATATTTTGGATTACAATAGCAAGGATTTCTGCATAATACATGTTGACTCATGTTACATATAATATTTCAGTTCAGAATTGTTTGCAGAAGTTTCTGAAAATTCTTGACAACTGTTGTTTTTCAAAAAATGTCATCACTCCGATGGAATTACCCAAATGCATTATTAGGGAGGGTTGCAAACAAATTTTAGACTAATTCAACTTACTGTACCTTAGAGTGATGCAACCTGACAAGTTCTGGAGATCCGTTGTTAGGTGTTGGCACAACTTTAACTACATCAGCTTCATTGGGACCATTAGCCTTAAAAGATGAAGACACAATACAGTATAACTCTCTGCTAACTCTTCTATAACCAAGGAAATTAAACAAAAACGTTTCAGATATCAGGGGTTCAAGATAACCAAATCAGTGTTAAATTACAAAAAAAATGGTCAGGGCTAAATGGCTAATCCAATGATGCATTGATACAATTTTTATTTGTGAAATATAGAGTAAAAACCTGCAATGTAGCAAGGGTGGAAAAAGTATCGGACCACAGGACCATTGTTCCCAGAAAAAGTTTTGAGTTCCCAGAAAATATTTCCCCAAGAAAGAAAGAGATTATTGCTATAGGGGGGTGTGGAGGTGTGTAACACGCTCCCTAATAATTCAAACGTTGGTCAAAGTTGGTCAAAATGGAACTGATATTTGCTTAAAATTGAAGGTAAAACTCGGGAAAATTTGGTCAAAGTTTGGGATAAAAGAAGGTCGAAGTTGCTCAAAGTTATGAAATGGTTCGCAATTTTAACAATTTTAAAGGTTTTGTTATGTTTGCGGTGAAAAAATTGGAAGGCTTGCTTATCTTGGTCAAAAAATTTTGAATATGCATATGTTAGTCAGGAAAAATTTTTTCGACTATGCTCATTTTAGTCCGGAAAATTTTTTGACCTCCCCCCTCCCCCCGGCGACAACATTTTCAGTTTGTTGACGAGCGTTATGATGCAAAATGCTGCCAAAATTAGTCCTATCAATTTTCGGGTAACATCCAGTGTTTAGGTTCCCTGATTTTCTGTGCAAAAATTCTTCGTTTCTTTCCTCAACGAGAAATCGGTGACCAGGGAACCGGTGACCTGCAATGAATCGCGGGCTTTTGTCTTGTTTATTACTACTGATATAGTGTTTTTTGAATTTTGAAACTTAGCATACTAACTCATATGTTTCTGGGGGTCCTACTAAAGAATGCCCGGGAATGCCCGGGAACGCCCGGGGAGGTTCGTTGAATGCCCGGGAGTTGCGAAAGAATGCCCGGGGAAAATTAAGTTCATAATTACGTTAGTTTATACTAATAAAATCACTTAGTTTATGAAAGATTAAATAATAATTCTTGTAATATATGGCATTGCAAAGTACTGTTCACGGAATGTCCGGCTGTCACAAAAGAATGCCCGGGAGTCGAAAATGAATGCCCGGGGTAAAATTACGCAAGTAATTACGATAGTTAATGATAACATTAACAAGTCTTTTATTCAGTTTAATGAAAGTTTCTTGTGATATATGGCATTGCAAAAGCCAAAAACTATTCACAGGCATGCCTGGGGAAAATTACGTACCGCCATGCAATGTCTTTTTCAAATCTGACTCAGAATATGTCACTATCAGTGAAATATATTTTTGGTAGTATAAAAAGATGTTTCTTCATCACATTATCACCACAAATTATTTATTTGGCTTTGTAATGCTAAGAGTGTCAAAAATGTTGTATTTTGTTCTGTTAATATTGTATTATATTTGTGATGATAAGTGCCTAAAGCACAGAATAACCTAAAGCCTTTATAATGTCGTATATATAATGTGATGAAGAAACACGTCTTTTTACACTACCGAAAATATATTTCACTGATAGTGATATATTCTGAGTAGATTTGAAAAAGACATTGGCGGTACGTAATTTCCCCCAGGCATGCTTGTGAATAGTTTTTGCAATGCCATATATCACAAGAAACTTTCATTAAACTGAATAAAAGACTTGTTAATGTTATCATTAACTATCGTAATTACTTGCGTAATTTTACCCCGGGCATTCATTTTCGACTCCCGGGCATTCTTTTGTGACAGCCGGATATTCCGTGAACAGTACTTTGCAATGCCATATATTACAAGAATTATTTAATCTTTCATAAACTAAGTGATTTTATTAGTATAAACTAACGTAATTATGAACTTAATTTTCCCCGGGCATTCTTTCGCAACTCCCGGGCATTCCCGGGCATTCAACATACCTCCCCGGGCGTTCCCGGGCATTCTTTAGTAGGACCGGTTTCTGGCATATTACCTGCAAAAAAGTTGAACTCTATTTGGGGAACTTCGCAGTAAGATCAATAGATCTAAATAAAATTATATAATATTTCAACTGAACTTTTGGAATTGGACTTAAAAAGGAATGAATTTAACATTGCTAATGCTTATAAACATCAGTGGTGTGGATAGCCATGCCAGGGCAGACCATTTATTTGCATGATATTTTAAAAAGGCCGCATTGGCACGCTTAGCATCAGCTACAAAGGTTAGAACAGTTCACTTTGAAAACTGTACAGCTCTATAATAACCGTTGTGAAATCCCTATATCTCCAAGGAGTCCAAGTCGCAAACTTTCAAGAATTTTAAAATGTCTTTACACAGACTATAAGAATCAAGCAGGTAATATACTACAAACAATAGAGTATGTTAGGTTTAAAAATTCAAAGAAACCTCAAAGTAAACATACCAAAGCTTAGACCAATTGACAATAATTGGTCATCTGGGGAAGTAATATAAAAATTTGACATGACTATTTGTCTATGATCAATGACAATAATCATATGATATAGTTTGCTGCCAATGTGATATGGTCTCTCTACAGTATGTATGGTAGCTGGCCTCCCATAAATATACATAATATAAAGGCCTAAAAAAATAGTGTGTTCCAGTTCCCGACTGACCCTATTTTTTTCAGCCGACCCTATTATTTTTTCAACGCAATTGACAGTGCGACTCTATTTTCTCCGGGTGGTAGCGGGCTGCTCACAGCCTCATACAGCATGCCAAAATGGCGTCTGTTGTCGCACTAATCATTGAACCAAATTGCCTAAATTTGTCCATGAAATATGCATCTCTAGTTAATATTGATGTTGGGACTCTACTGAAAATCGCCCAGCAAAAAACCGCCAAAACCATGAAAAAAATATTCTCCCTACAAGCTACCTAAAAATATTTTTCCTACCTACCCTAACTTTTTCATGATATGAAACCGGAATCACAGGTATTTTTTTCAGGCCAAAGTGTTATTCAAGTGGTTTAGATAATGCAAAAAAAAAACGAACAGACGCTGTAGTTTGTAAATTTGAGCAAAAATCAAACACTCAGACGCTGTATAATTTCTAAATTTAAAGTATATAAACAGATGGAACCCATTGGGCAATTCCCGCTATAGACTGAATTTTGATCTAGGCAAGAAGAAGAAAATCCATCACTCAGCTAGAAAGAGCATGTTAAAATTAGTAAAATTGCAAAGTTTGACCATGAAATATTGTAAAATGAGGAAAATATAGCCCTGCAAAATTTGCAAATTTTGTATTAATTTGTATTACACATGGCAAATGCACCACATTTGGGCCAAAAAGTGGTGCGAATTCCTGTGCATAATACAAATTAATACAAAATTTGCAAATTTCGTAGGGTTTCTATATTTTCCTCATTTGACAACTTTTCGCAACCAAACTTTGCAATGTTACTAATTTTAACATGCTCTTTCTAGCTGTGATGGATTTTGTTCTTCTTGCCTAGATCAAAATTTAGTCTATTGCTGGAATTGCCCATTGCTTCAACATTTTCACGCTGAGGCAAACTAGGCGTAAAAAAAAATACCTGTGGTTCCGGTTTCATATTGCGAAAAAATTAGGGACGGTAGGTCGGAAATAAACTTTTTTTTTAATATTTTTTTTTCATGGCTTTGGCGGTTTTTTGCTGGGCGATTTGCAGTAGAGTCCCGACATCAATATTAACTAGAGATGCGTATTTCCTATGGACGAATTTAGGCAATTTGGTTCAATAATTAGTGTGACAACAGACGCCATTTTAACCCGAAAAGCATGATCGCAGGTTAACACCATTTTGGCACGCTGTATGAACAGCCCGCAATCACCTTGGGAAAATAGGGTCACACGGTCAATTGCGTTGAAAAAATAATAGGGTCGGCAGAAAAAAATAGGGTCGGTCGGGAACCGGAACCACAGGTATTTTTTTATGCCCTATGAAAATTCTAACTTGCCTCAGCAATTGCAGAGTACCGAGGCAAATTTCGAGGGTTGATCATGTATACTAGCAGCAGCCGCAACCAGTGTGGAAAGTTTGTATCATGCAGCCAATATCTCACGAGGTTGTACAATTTTGATGCCTTCTACATATTTACTATTAAATTTTCGAACCTTGGCTGCACAATTTCCAAACTTTCCAGTCAGGGCCACGACCATCGAGTGCAAAGTCTGGGAAAATATCAGTTCAACAAAAGAGGAATAAAGGAGAACAAAGTATCAAACAGGCAAGTAAATTTCATCCAATAATGGAAAGTTGGGCACTTTAACAGGAGATCTCCTGCAGCAGGCAAAGGTCAAAAACTGCTGATGCAGCAAAATGTTGCGGCAGAAAAACTGTAAAATTGACCGTGCGGCAGAAATAGTTTAGAAAATACCTGCGGCACAATTTGGGTGACACGTCAGTGGTGTGTTGTATCAACACATTTTAAGATGTATTAATTATTCGACAAAAAAGCTGTGTTGATTGTAATAGCACATCTTTTTTTAAGAGTGAAGGCTTCAATGTTTACTGTTTAGTGGTCAGCAGTATTGCGTGGTCATTTGAATTTTTTACCTGCGGCAGCATATTATTGGCATTGCGGCAGGATAGAATGCATGGTCTTGTCAACTGCGGAAGTCTCCTGCACAGGGTCTTAGCCAGCCTACCGTCCAGCCGTCTTTTGGACGGCCATTTTCAAATTTGGACGGCCTTCTAAAAAAGACGGCTTTTGGACGGTAAACATAAACATTGCTCACTTGCAAGCTGCCAAATCTGTCAAACCAAAGATTCCCTAGGCCTAGCTGTCAAAAACTGTAGAATATAACTATATAAGATAATTAGTTGCTTTTTGTTGTTTTTTGGTTGTGTTCTTCATTCACACTATAGCTTATCAAAGCTACAGTACAAGTACTGTATTTATAGCATGAAAGTGAAAACATAATATCAATCATAAGATTAATATATTGGCAGATTTACTTAAACTGTACTACTGTAGTCAGTGTAGTGAGTAGTCACATAATCTGAATGATTGAATATAATTTAGTTTTTTGAGCGATTCTCAAGTGCGGTCACCAATTACTCTCAGCATTCGGAAATAATCACATTGAATTAATGGTGCATGAAGTGGTGCCATGGTTCCATATGGCAAAATATGGGTGTCATAAATGAAATTTCAAATTTGGACACCCAAGTTGCAAATCCTGGTTAAGACCCTGCTCCTGCTGCAGCCAAAGCATACTTTCCACTATGGAATTTCATTTAAATGACAAATTTTTACTATATTAAGGGGCCACGTCCATATTCATGTTGCCACGCATAACGTCGAATCGACATTATGGGTGGGTTCTTACGTCAACTCCTCGACGTTATCTCGTGGCAGTTTGACTATTTTTATCCGAACAGACCGAAGTTTAAATATTTAATGTTTGTCGTGCAACTTTTGCCAGTATTATATTAGGTCAAAGTATTGAAGGTCGAAGTATTGAAGCGACATTTTCTTCGTGTCAAATACCGGTCAAATTGTGTTTGCGAATCGCGACATTTTTCTGCGATAAAACTTCTCATATTTTATAATAAAGAGCCTACATTAATTGGCGCCAACGAAGGCAAGTGCAACAGTCAATAACTTTGAACTGAAGCCTCGGCATTTTAATGCATTTCTGATACAAACTGGATTGATTATATACCATATTTCTGTTGCCAATTTGATTTTGAGCTCTTTTAGCGGTCAAAATACGACAGGGTTAACGATCAACGTTGTCTGAGGTGGGTGGGTGGGTACTGGTGATAACGTCAATTTGACGGGCTGTGAGCAGGCTACGTTATGCGTGTCAACATGAAATATATGGACGTGGCCCCTAATATACACTGTGATACAATGTATACTATATTGTACACGTGCCATATAAAATACAAGAGAACTCTTACCAAATCCTTAAAATTTAATACTAGTGCTATCAAATCCAAAAAGACACAGAAAAAAAATTGTTTTACCTTACTACAGGTCAAAAAACACCGTACATGAACAGACCACATGCTAAACAGCCAAACAAGAATTTGAAAAAGTAATATCATAACTCCTACAATGGCGCCGACTTCGAAATGATCTGATACTCCATAGACCATAAACCACGCATAAAGCCATATTACATATATTAATACAAAAGGAGCAACATAAAAATGAAAATATAAAGGTTGATTTTTGTAAAGTTTATAATAGGCAACCTCGTCTGCGGCCATATTGGAATCACAAGAACCCCAAGGTTATACACTGAGCTGAATAATATCTGGAGGACTTGCTCCTATCTCTCGCACTGAGCTTTACTATATTACTGGACAACCTGCTTCCTCTGACCTTATCTCTCGCTAATTAATTATATATATAATTTCATCCTGCTCATCAGCACTACATTGATGAGGCCCATAAGGCCGAAATAATATATATATATATATATATATATATATATATATATATATATATATATATATATATATATATATATATATATATATATATATATATATATATATATATATATATATATATATATATATATATATATATATATATATATATATATATATATATATACATATATATATATATATTATTATTATTATTATTATTAAAAATTTTATTTCAATACGGTGGTTACATCAAAATCGTATACAGTTTTGTTCTACCTGTAAGCCGTATATTATAGTTTGTAATATATATTAATTTAATTAATTAATGATCAGCGGAAAAATGGATATTTTTTAAAAGATCTTTGAACCGCTTTAATGAACTCTCTTTTTTCAAAACTTCAGGAAGAGAGTTCCACACTTTTGCGCCGGAGTAAACAAAACTTCTCTTATAATATTCAGTTCGAATTAGTGGAAGTTCGACATTCTCTGTTGAAGAACGAAGATCATAAAAATTGGCACCAGTTTCTGGTCTAAATAAACCTAAGAAACATGACGGTGCTTTATGGTTTAATATTTTATGCATCATCACTGCTTTGCATTTTTGTCTTCGTTCACTCAACTTCTCCCATCCTAATTCGTTTAATATATCACTGGACCTTCGCGAATAGTCGGCTCCAGTAATAATACGTGCTGCACGATTTTGAAGTTTTTGAAGCTTTAACGGCAAATAGTCACTGATGCCATCCCAAATTATACAGCAGTAATCAAAATAAGGTTCTACAATAGCTCTATATACATTCATAAGATCGCACTTTTTCAAGACTTTTCTATTTCTACGTAGAAGACTAACACCGATCGCTAATTTTTTAATTACATTATCTATGTGCTCAGCCCATGTGAGAAATTCGTCTATTGTCACTCCTAAGCACTTAGTACTCTTAACTTTACGTAGAGATATATCATTAAGGGAAAGTGTCAGATCACCCACAAGTGAATTTATTCTTTGTTTTGAACCAACAACCATATATTCAGTTTTCACTGTATTTAAAGTAAGTTTGTTGGCTATAAGCCAGGATTCTAAATGTTCCAGGTCTTTTTTCATCTGCCGTTGAAGTTCAGAAAAAACACATGCTGAGAATGATACGTTAGTATCATCTGCATACATTCGGGCAGTACCATGATTAACATAAGTCGTCAAATCATTTATATAAATAAGAAATAATAAAGGACCTAGAACTGAACCTTGGGGAACTCCACTTTTGACCTGCACTTTACCAGATAAATAACCATTAACATAACATTGTTGAGTTCTATCAGTAAAATATGATTTAAACCAATGTAATGTTTTATCACAGATTCCAAGAAAACTTAATTTAGTTAATAATATATTATGATCAACAGTGTCAAAAGCTTTTTTTAAATCTAAAAATAAGACACCATTGATCATACCTCTATCAATATTATAATACCACTGGTTAGTTAAATCCAGTAATGCAGTTACAGTTGAATGCAGTGACCTAAAACCGAATTGCCTTGGATTAATTAGATCAAATTTCATTAGATATGCATAAATCTGATTATAGACCAATCTCTCAAATAACGTAGAAATACCAAGCAAAACAGATATTGGTCTATAATTATTTGAGTCACTGCGTTCACCGGATTTAAAAATAGGAAAAACCTTTGCTGATTTCCACTCATTTGGAAAAACATTATGCTTAATGGATAAATTAAATAGGCTGGCAAGATGTCCATAAATAGAAGGTGCTGCGATTTTTAATATCTTGTTCGAAATATTATCTAGACCAGTGGCCTTAGAAATGTCGAGCTTCTTCAATAATTTTAAAACTTCTTCGGGTTCTATTTCGACATATATATAGATATATATATAGATATATATATATAGATATATATATAGATATATATATAGATATATATATAGATATATATAGATATATATATAGATATATATAGATATATATAGATATATATATCTATATATATAGATATATATAGATATATATATCTATATATATATCTATATATATATATCTATATAGATAGATATATATAGATATATATATATATATATAGAT